ACTCACAGAGCTGTACCTTTAGCTCTAGCAGCAAGGGGCTGCTGCTCCTGGTGATGGTATTCCTGTATCTGATTTCTACTGCTGTTGGAGGAATGGAGTACATCACTCTTCCAACAGGTTTTATGTGCATCAAAACAGGATCCAACTTTGAATATTTCAATACTCCAACAGAAGTTGGGACAGCTCAATACATAAGAATGGAGGTCCAAGCAACAGAAATGTGATAAGATCAGAGCCTAGTATCACAGACAGCTTTTGATAAAAATGTGGTCTTGGTTTTGACTATTCAGGAACAGATTTTAAACTTCAGTGTCCCTGATGCTGAGTACTTTTCATGCCTTGCCTGTTTGTAGGTCAAGTCATTCAACTACAGAACTGGGAAAGAAGGCTGGGTCCTTCAGATGCAACCTTTGGCATTGAAGCCTCTCCTCTCCTGTCCTTTCCTATTCCATAATGCCCTAGGAAGGGATATTGTGCTTTGCAGAGTACTAAAATACAGTCATGAGGAAGTATAAGCAATGAAGTGATTTTTCATGTCACAACCAACTTTATTAGCATAATTCCTAATTGTGAATGTTTAGAAGCCTCATAATAGCAAGAATAATTGTGTTTAACAGGCAGAGTGATAAATAGACAAGATTAGTCATTTCTCCATCCTCCTCCCCCCCTCCCAACTGCTACAAAATCCTTTTCCTTTCCTCTACCATTGGGAAGCAAGTACCAGGGAACATATTCTACAGGAAAAAAAGTGCCTGTTTCTAGTGTGCCCAAGAATCTTCTACTTGTGACATCCTAACCTCACTTGTCTTTAGTGGGACCTCATATAAACCTCTGAGTGGCAACGTAAAAGAAAAGATAAAATTTGGAACCCCACTAGAACACAGCCTATAAGAAAAGACAATATGCAACTAAGCAGAGGTTTCCAGGGAAACCTAGATGTATTACAATATATTCCAGAACTGTGCACTGTGAAAGGAACCCACCATTTAGATACAAGTTTGCAATACATTTCCACCATGTTTAGTAAGAACATAGAAGACAAAACACTTAGTGCCTTATCATGAGCCATCACTTCCTAACCTGCCACACAGATCTGAAGCCCTTGTGGTGGAAAACTCACCAGAGGATGATCTGGGGTGGTGCTGCAAAGACTGAGGCACAAAGCATTTCTTCCATTGTGGTGAGTCAGGACAGGCTTGCAAGGGGGACTTGCAAACAGCACAGGTCTATGGAGGCTTATGGACAGAGGGAGCTCCTCTTTGTGGAATCCAATTCAATAATTATGAAAGACAGAAAACAACTGCTCTTTTTGGGTACAGTAGCCTATCTTGGATATTACTGACACTACCAAAGAGGAAAACACACAGAAGACTCTGTGAAGGGAGTCTGTCTTGATAAGAAAAGAATTGATAACAAGGTCAGGTCAGGGTCCTGAGTGCAGGAGACTGGGCTGGAGACTGCCCCCTCCCACCCTGCTCTCTCCCCAGCCTGCCCAACTCCCTTCCTCAAGTCAGTGGGACATGCCCTGGCTGACAAGGACCCTGTCCAGCCAGCCCCAAGGCTCACAGTCCCCAGCAAGATGTCAGACTCCACAGTGACAAGATCTTTAGATGCCAACTGGTATCATCCACAGCAAATCAAGAGCTGCTGTCCCAACAAATGTAAAATGATGCACCTATTCCAGCTAGTGGCTTCAAAATACCCTTTTAATATGCACTAGCCACGTTCCTTACGGTCTTACAGCTTCCTTGCAGTTGAACCATTTTACCTTCTCCTTCTGTCCTTTAACTCTTTCAAATCTTTAGAAGAACAATGGTTTTCAAGATGACTTGCCAATTAACTTCATCCATTCCCACAACTGCCTTCAGTTGTAGATTCAGTTCAGGGCCAGAACTGTCTCCACAACACAAGGAAAAGTACTTCTCTCCATTTAAACTCCTTTTTACATAACCAGGAGACTAAAGCAGCCAGAGACTCCAGGGTTTAATTCAAACTTAGACTCTCAGGTGTGATTCTGTTTTGCTGCAGGTATTTTAATCTCCATTAGAGAGAGAAGAGGGACAGAATCTTACATGGTTTCATATGCATTTGTTTTGATTTTTATAGCTGGCAAAAGAGCTATATTAACCGCACAGCAGGGGCTGAAACCAAAGACCTGGAAAATAAAATATTCTCAGTATTCATTATTTCAGTACTTGAAAATTCCAACAAGATGAGACTTCTATATGCTTATCATGAAAGAGAATAAATAGGCATGGATTAAAATAGATTAAAAAAAACCAACCCTATTTATTTACAGTACATAAAGCAAATCTATTTGCAAATTGTAAAAAGCATTACCCTTGCAGTCCTCAGGGATTCTAATGTATTGGAACAAAAAGTAGGCATAACCAAATTAAATGCTCAAAATAAAACTGGGCAAGATATTTGCTATCCAATATGCAACTGCTGAAGACAGACCAGCCTGATACTGAGAGCAGAGCTCTAAAGGCCTGAGTCATGAATCCAAATCTCAGACATCTGAGTTTTTACAAGGTGTTTGTCACATATCATCTTAAAACTGGCATAAACCTGATGTATGGACATGGTTAAATCACGTTATCATCTCTTTCTTAAAATTAAGACTCTGATACTGAGCCATTTAAAAGTGTTGTGAGATAAATTGCCCATAGCATTGAAAAGCAATAATATTGCCTCTTAGTTCTGCTAAGTATTAAATAAAAACTCTTCAGGGACCCCCCCCACACACACTTGTTGGGGTTGTAATCCCAAAAAGAAGAGTAAGTGTTGAAACAAAGCCAGAATAGTGTTCTGTATCCCTTGCCCATTCTACCCTTGACTCTGCATCACTTAGGTAAATGAGCCTTAGCTAAGGTAATTACAAAAAAATAGGAGTCCTTCAAATAACTAATCAAGAAAGCATCAAAGAAATATGGAGGAAAAGAGTTCCTTGAACTAAAAGATCAAAATGCCTAATAATAAAGGGTTTCTCACTTTCAGCATGATGAGTCCCTGCTGACCTTATAGACACAACTTTGGGGTGAAGGGTATGTAGGATTTCACAGATGATGTCCTACATCACCTTGCAGTGCTAAGCAAGCACTCTCCACAGGTACAGAGACACTGGCATTGGATATTTTAAGGAGAGGGGCCATAACCACACACTACATTTCATCGCTCTTTCAGTTTTCTCTTCGTACAAGTCTAACTCCTGAGTCTATTTTTTATCAGAAATGAGTTGGTCACAGCTGTCCTAAGAGAGCACTGTGACATTCTGAGAATGCAAAGGGATATCCCACTCAGCTTAAACAGGAGAAAGTGGGACTAGAGGCAAAGGTCAGGTCCCACTAGATTGAAGACGCAGTGAGCCATGAACGCACTTCTCACAGAAGACTTTCCAGATGCTAGAATGAAACTCAAAGAAGCAGCAGATCTGCTCAGGCCTTCCCATCAATGACCTTGGATACTTGTGCTGTTTTAGCCACAGAGCAAGGATCATGTAAGAGCAGAGCTCAGGGAATTGCCCAGGCAGAACCGTGTTGCTCTTCTGCATACACTCTCACGGAGTGGGACCAAGTCCCCTGCTCAAGGCACTGCCCTATGGCTGATGCTTCACACCGCTCCTATGGCTGCAGTGAACATGCCCACAACCTCTGCAGGTCACCTAGTGCAGGAGAACATGGATCTGAATGGTACCTCTGGGGGCTGAACTTTCTCTGCAGCTCTAAGAAAGGTGTTGTCAGGACAGTAATAGATCATGACCCCTTCAAACACTCGTCCACATAGGAGCATGCAGCATACTGAGGGGGTGGGGAGAAATATACCCCTGCAGGCCAGTCAGTCTGCACTCTATGTGTTAGCAACAGTCAGCACCCAAGCATTGAACAAGGCAAAGGTTTTGGTAAAAGCTTGAGCCTTTCAAGACCAGTCTGACACTCCCTAACTTGTTTCGCACAAGTCCTAATTTCATAGAGAAATGACGACCTGTTTACAAACCATATATAAACCAAGGTTTATTTGCCAAAAAGATTCATCAATAATTTTAAATTAGCAAATGTCAACAACATTACAATTAATTTGCTGGCAGGAAAATGGATTGGGAAAATGTAGTGAACAAAGCATACAGTTTCGCCATTTCCTCTGCTCCAGATGGAGTATATGGCTTGAAGCTAATGGAGAGATTTCCAAGATCAAGAGGGAATGGACCTCTCTTAGGGTCTGTGAACCAGGCCCTTCTCCCCTAGTTGCTGCCTTTCAGACAGACTACAGCTTTTGTCATGAACAAATCATTTCAGCTTTTAATTCAGTCTCTCCTTTTGTAAAACAGGCCTAATAGTACTCACTTATCTACTTCACTAGGATGCTTCAAGGATTAAAATTGATGCATCCCTGTTGAAGTAATGTGCTATAATTACCTTGTTAATGTGCCCTCTCTTGGATAGAATTAAAATTGCTTAGCTGCATGTCACATGTCCCACACTGCCAGCCAACTGGGGCCCTGGGCAAGCTCAGGCAATTGGACAATGTTTTCTCAAGCCAATTTCTCCTGTGCAGCTGAAGCGAAAAGAAAATGGCAGCCTTGCAGTCAAGGGCTGCAGCAAGTACTTGAGAAAGTAGCCTCAAAGTCACTAATTATGCAGAAGTGTGCTCCTTTACAGATCAGCCAGAGGCAAAAGACTATTTTCTGCCTACATTTGGGTGACAAAAAAAACCCAAAACCTGTTGAAACCCTCCTTTTCAGCGAGCTACATCTTTCCCTGATGAAAGCAGTGAAACAATCATTCCCTCTTTCAAACCCATCTGTGATATTAAAGTCCCCACCTGTGCTCTGACCACTCTTCCCCTCCTGTATGATTCTTCCCAGCTAAGTGTCCCTTTTGCTTCAGCTGCTCTAACTTCTGAAAATGAGAAAAATGCTAAGAAATTATGCAACACTAAGGGGGAAGGTCTAAAATTTTCTCTATTTCAGAGAAAAGTAGCCAGAAGTATCTTTATTACAGATGTACCTGGGCAACTGCAGGTCTGTCTCTACTATCCAGAGATGTGCATAGCCCCATCTATTCCTACAGGCAGAAACCAGCGAAGCTTGCACAGACTGGAGACATTCTTATCCCTGCATCTCTATTTGCACTGCATCACATTACCTCACTTCCAGCCAATCCAACCGTTTCATGCCTCAACACTCTCCTCTCACCTAGCACATACCCACCAGAGCAGCTGATTGCCATGGCAAACACGGCAGAGCTCAGAAAATTATATACGGCCAGCAGTTAGCATTTGTGAAAATGCAAATAAAAACAACGCAATTTCAGGGGTGGGCTAGAGTTTGGCATGAGTATCTTCTGCTTGCAAAATTTAAAGAAACACAGAGCAACATGCACACAATGAACAGCAGAGAGTTATATCCTGATAAATAGGTTTTCCTGATTTCACAGCCCAGTTACAATAATTAGGAATAAGGTGACCCCTCCCGTCTCAGGAGAAGGAAGGCAGTTCTGAACAGCAACACAAACAACAGTGTTTGAGACTGATGAAGGCCTCCTAATTCACTATAAAAGCGGGTACAAAGTCAAGACTGCAAGAACCAAAACCTCCTCCTTTGCCCTTGGAAATCTCAAACATGATAATCCTCATACATAAGAATTCTTCCTGATCAACCCTATTTCAGAGATATCCAAGTGTTATCACTGCATGAGTCTTAGAGGGTCTGCATTTATTACAGATGTTATCTTACCTAAAGGAGTTTCTGCTGAAGTTACAGTGAATATGGCTATTGTATTCCTGTACAAAATAAAGAAGCCATTATAAATCTTCATAAAGTATTCAATACACAGCAATCCCTCAGCAATCATGACTCCACACATTTGCAGTGCACACGTATTGTTTAAAGCACTGCAGACATCTAGGACTGGTTTTTCTGCTGTTTTTAAAGGTGGTCAGAAAATGCAAGCAAAACCAATGAAAAAAGTGAAAGATCCAGGATTGCGACTTGCTTTTTTAGAATGACAGCTGGGCAGGGAACAAATGAGGCCCCAAGACTGATCTCTGCAAAGAGCAACTTTCTGCTGAAACCAGCTCTGAAATGGGCAGAAAAGCTCAGCTGACAGAACTGCTATGACCTTTGTCCATCACCAAAGCTGTGCTTTAACAAAGCCATCATATGGCACTGAACTGCAAGCTCAGTGCAGCATCCGGCTGCTTGCATGGTCATCTCAGCCTCTGCCTCAGTAGAAGCTGTTCTGATGAGCAGCCCATGCTGCAGGAGAGAACACGATTTCCAAGTAGTTGCACACAGGATTATCAACCACTATGAAGATTTTATTCATAACCCACAGTGTCTGTGTTGTGACATATGGCTGCTTTGCTGCTTCTGCTAGTAAATCTGGTACATTACAATATTCCCTGTGTGCCAAGTGTTTAGCAAACACACATGTTGGCAGCCAGAGTATTCCTGGAAAGGACATGTGTCTTGAAATGAAGCTGAGCCAACTGCTGCTCCGTGTCATAACAGAGAAAGTGCCCTCATATCCGAGTTCAGCATTGTTGGCACAAAGAATGACTGTCATCCAAAAAGCAGAGCTGGAAAAGTGCCATGGAAAACACAGTCAAATTAACAAATATGTGTTTTTGAGTCCATCTGCTTCAGAAGTATCTTCTGCTCTTCTCTCTTTTCACATAAGAGATTTCCATCAACAGATACCTTGGAAACATTTGGCCTGAGGTCAAAGGGATAACAGAGCAAGTGTAACAAGGCAAAGAACATCAAGTAATTTGTATAAAAATACTGAATTGCTGCCCAAAAAGCCATGAATGCAAGTATCAGAGCTTCACATAGTTCAGTGACCAGCATGTGCAACTCTTATTATATATGGCTACCTAAATACTAACACAAACTTAAAAAGTTGATATCTAAGAGAACTTAGAAAAACAAAAGTAGCAAGAATAGAGAAAATATTTATGAAATCCAGGAAAATAATAACTGGATATTTGGACTGCAAAGTACAGATATTAATATGATGCATACTATAAGAAACAAAATAATCCCAAATAAACCCAAATCTCAACATTTGCCCATCTGATTTTTCTGGACTCTCTTGTTCCAAGGATCTATTTCTGGGATAATCAGTTCTTATCCTCCTCTGTAAAAGCTGACTCCTGGTGTTTTCCAAGTATTTTGAGAAAAGGGTATATTACCAAAATTACAGCTGCTAAAGAGTTCACAATTTAGATTTGTGTGTATTTCATCAATACTACACCCTGTGAGCATTTGGAAAATTAGGGCAACTGTGAGGGCAGAAATAACATCCATAGTCTTGAAAAGGACAATTCTCTGACACTGCTTATGAAAAATGAGCATCTCCCTAATTATCAGCAGCACAGGAATTCTGGCACACGTGACTATTTGTAGTTCTACTCCATCAGAAACAACAATGAAACACAAGCATCAGCTAAGATTTTACAGTTTTATAGCATAAACTATTGATATTGTTAAGGAAATGGGAAGAGGAAGAAGCAGCTGTTATGGGGGGGTGGATTCTACATGAGACAAAACGTGGCAAGAGTTACATGCAGACTGTGGATAATTTTTTTTTGTTGAGGGATAGAAGATACTTTCTCTCCAGACATTTGCAGAAAGTTTAATTAAGTAGCTTATAACAAGTTAAACACTGAAAAAAAACACCTATGTGCAATTTCTGCCTGCCATTAGCTGAGTGATTGACAGGTACTGTTTCCTGCATTTCAGCACACATAGCTGCTGCTGAGTTTTAATTCGGGCATTTATTTTGAAAAGCTGAATGATAACATTATCAAGAAGCAAACAGTCCAGAAACAATGAGAGAAGGGGAGTTTCAAGGATGGCAGACAGTGTTTATCCAAGCCATCTTCATCTCAGGCACAAATTGTTTGCTGAACCTTCTCCCTCCAAAAAACACTACCATGGTGTTTCTCCTTTCCAGCTGCCATAGGCAACAAACATCAGTCCATGCTGCCCACTCCCAAATCTGTCATGACTTTGAGATTCTCTTTTAATTACAACCACTGGAAGTTTTTACCAGAACCCTGAACCCAGCCTACATACTTGTTCAGAACTCAGAAATCTTAACTGCCCAAGTTTGCACAGTTTGCTGGAAGTCTGTACCCGATGCGTCTGCCCTCATATTACAATTACAATTGCAGGTCAGATTGAAATATTCATGCAAAACCCAGTAGAATTATGTTTTCCTAACAAAAAGAAGAAATTGCCTGATGGCTGAATTCACCACTAATACAAAAACCTCCTGCTGGCATCATCTTCACCCAGTGCGTCATAGGATACTGCCTATTTTACCACCTAAATTGCACCCTGCCTCTCCTTAAATAAAGGCCAGTAAATCTTAACAGAAAAATGCAGGTATTCATCATTTGTGTTTTCCCATCCTTTCCACTATCTATGCAAGTTGATTTCTCCTGACATTTTGATTGCAAGAGAAAGATCCATAGTTTCAAATATTCCTCTATACCTAAAAAAAAAACACTTAGAGCTTGAAAAATCTTCTAAAAAAAAGCCACCTTTAGAGTAGAAAAAGAATAAGCAACCTAATCTCATGCGACAGATTACAAGACATTAGCTGAAAGCAAACCCATTTTTTTCTCTGAAGGTGTCTGCCTTTCAAAAGCACCTTCCAAGTGGAATATTGCATGTGCTTTAAAATATTCATTAATCTAGTTTCATAGAATTTACACCACCCATAGGCTATTGAAGGTCAGTAAAAGTATTCACACATGAAGCAAAAGGAATATACAGAGACAGTGATTTGTCCAAAATCTTAAGCAGAGACTCTTTCAACATAGCCAGAAAAAGGCAAATCTTTCTATGTTCCAGAATGCACCTTAACCGCAAGAATATCCTTACATACAGCTTAGTCTTTCACAGGAAGGATTAAATAATATCGTTTTTCCTATATTAAATGTCTTTCACTGCAGTGGAACTTCATTGCACGTACATCTGTAGGTAAAGGCAAGTTATAAATAATTAATATGATTACATAGAATACATATCAAGCCTGCAACAGACTATGTATGCCAGTCTCATACTGCATCTGCTGGGATAGCGTAATGCGATTTAGCAGATAAAACACACACATTATTTAAAAGGGTTATCAAATTTTGAAGTCACATTAAATTATACATTGAGTCATTGTGTTTGCGGGGGTGTACATACTCCTACAGTTTCTGTGTACAAATCAATCATATTGTCTGTTAATCCCTACATATGCATAACCCAGAGCACTAGGCCACAAGGAGTCAAAGTCCAATACAGCACAAAAATAAATGGGTTTTAACATGCACTCTGGGTTTGGCTCTAGGTAGACACACTATGGACATTTTCTAGGAAGGAATACAGAATTCAGGAATGCATTGTACCCCAAATCTGCACCACTTGATTGCTAACCCAAATAGCATCTCAGCATGCATGTGCACACTTGCATGCAGGCAATCTGAGGCCTCACCCATTTCTGCTGCAGATGGATATAGTACATCAGGTGCTTGGTCTTCACTGAGCTGTTTGGTTGGCTCTTCATCATGGACACAGTATGTCAATGACCACTCAGGACAGAACAAGTGCTTCAGACAAAAAAAAATACAAAAGACCCCCTCTCCTTGAGTAAGCCATTAGTGGTATTTCTGATCCATTTCACTTAATAATGCCAGGTGAAGGCTTCTTACACACAGTTCTGCCCATGCAGTCATGATCTCCATCCCAGTGCTATTTTCTCTAATGCAAGGTCTGTGAGAAAAAGTCTGTCAGGTTTTCTAGAATATGCCAGCTGGGACACAGCAACCTTTTTTTTTTTATCAGAACAAGAGTTTTTCTGTATTCTCAGATAATAAAACAACTAAATCTCTTGATACTTTATCTTTTATGCATCTGGTTGAATAAATGAATACCAATCTAGTCCATTCACGTTGTCAATACAAAAGAACATAAAAGCTTTCACTCTGAAGAAGTGTTAAAAATCCTTCATGCAGGACATGTATGTGGTCACTCAATTTAAGAAGGCCTCAGCAGAAACAGAAAGGATACATAGGAGCATGGGGTGGCTGGGGCAGGGAGTGGCATGCAGGGAGGTGGGGGGGGCAGGGAAGGAATAAAAGTTATGAGACACAAGAGATAAGTTCCATGAAGAACTTATTTTATCCAAAATAAAAGATAAGGTAGAGGCACAAGAAACAATGCAGTATCATATAGCAAATATCTTTCACACCTTCACATAGCAGGAACAAGGAAACTGGGATATTTTTAAATAACAACCTGTGGAACACACTACCACAGAGTAACACCAAAGCCCAGAGGCCCAGAGTACACAAAATGAAACCAAGCACTTAGGCAAATAACAGAAACTGCTGCAGTCACAGCATCCACTTATTAAACCATCTTCACACATTTCTAGAAAATACACATTAACCCTCTAAAATG